GTTGCTGCTGACATACCGCAGGACTGCACCATAAGTGCCACATCGCGTGCCACTGATGGTGACACATCAAAAGCAAGGGTCAATACGGGAAAAGCAACTGCACCTCCACCTTCGCTGGTCATTCCTGTGAAGAAAAGTAAAAGTTACATTAGTTAGTGTATTACTTCAAAGATGTCGCATGTGCTCTATTAAAATAGTGATAAACGATCCCAAAAACTGCCTTTAAAACAGTTCAATACTGCATAAAAATCGATTGGTTGTTTGTTAGAGGAGCAACAGTGCAATTTTATGTTGTGTTTCTAGCAAGTTCTTTGCGATAGCAAGTGCCTCTAAAATACAAGCGATAAAAGGGGGAGAAAGATTCATAAATGATATGCTTGCGAAGAGAATAGGGTCCACCAGACATAACACATGCCAACATAGGATTCAAACAACTGTGTCAGCAACGGAAAACTAATGTTAACAAGTCAACTACTACGTAGCCTCATTTCAGGGGGTGGATAGTCATTTTGCTGATCATTCGCTATAGCTGCTCTCTCGTTTGCCTGAAAATTTCTTTGGAACCCGTACGCGTAACCTCGCCAATTATAACCAGTGTTTTCAACACATGTAAGTTTCGGAAGTTATTTGTAGAAATAGTCTTCACCTGCAACAGTACCGCCAAGAACCATTGTCAAGGTCATGTAGTATAAGTCAGGAAAGAGAGCAAACCAGTTGTACTTAATGGCGCAAGTCCACCAAACAATGTGACAGAGCCCTGACGCTATGGCAATACCAACGAAAAGACGGTACTTCACCATAAGCTTCCTGTGCCATGGTGCATCAGGTTCTAGTTCCTCGAGAGCCTTAATTTGGGTTTCAGTCACAGTCTGTCCTGAAAGGTGCGAAAATTGGCATTAGACCGGCTTTATTATTACTATCAATAAGCCAAACAACTGCAATAATCACTGAAATTCAACAACACAGCACATGTATCCCAAAACCCATTAACCATAGGAAGAGGTCTTCTATTCGAATCTTGTCGTCGCCGTAAACATTTCTCGTAATATCTTTATTAATATACTTTATCGCGATGAACACCTTATCGTTTGATTTCATACCCATAGTGCAACATCATACCTTAGTTGTAGATGATATAGTTTTAATGTGTGTAAGAGTTTGTTTGCCAGATGCGCTTCTTATTTTTCGTACGCAATTTCTGCTTACTACAATTAGCATATCGTCACAAAAACATAAAGGTCTAAGTTTCCACAAAGATGACTTTTTAAAGAGTAGGCTACGAGATGGGTAAAGGTTCGCAATATTTTATCACAAAGCAAAAAAGCGCGATAAAAATTGTTGGTGAAGAATAACATTGGAATACTTAAGCGTGGTAAAATAGAAAATGTACGTGAATAAACTGTTGTTTTACTCCCCCGTTAAGAAGACATGTATATTTTGAAATTCGCTCAATTCCCAAATATGATATTTCCTCAAGTGTTTTCTTCTGATCAATATTGTCCAGTGACAAGATTACTTCGCAGGAAACCACAAATGCTTCTGCTTCTTCGTGATTAACATAATTTGCAAACTTAAAACTTGGGCCGAACATTCTGTGTGGTATCTGAAGTGGATGCGAGGGTAACTGTGTACATAATAAGTAGAAAAGAACTCTTCGAACACATTTTGTGACATGGTAGCTACGGAGTCTTCTTTTTGGCTGTTTAGTAGACTGTTCAAATTCTTACCTTCCCAAAAATATTTCTTAAACCATTGCGCAGGAGTCCTTCGTCCTCGTCGAGGTGCTTCGCCAGACGCGTTCTAAAACAAGCAAAACCAAAGTTCACTCTGTCGATATCTTATGCAGCTGCAAACATCTCATTTGCTATTTCTGTACTATGTGTGTATCTATGTATGTCAACAAAAAGTTCGTTTTCAATTGCTCTCATGTTGGGTTAGGTAACTGGATTTTCTACTTTCTCAAAGTGTGCGCTTGACTTCTTGTTGCTTTCAATGGGCCAAATATATATATACTCTATCTAAACACCAAGAAAATTAGGTTGCGAAAGAAGTCCTTAACTAGAAATACAGAACATGCGATTCAGAGCAGCAGGTAAAGACAATCTAATCAGAAAGAGAATTATTATATTAAGTGAACGTGTATCCATGAGTTAACCGTGAGGTTTTGGTGATATTTCCTGGGAGTTTCTAAAAATGGTCAAAAAATCATGAGCACATCTATACTGAAGCACTCGAGAGGAATGCGTATATGTTGATGCATCACAGATATTGCTTGAACTTGGATATCTGGACTAACTTTTTTGGGAAATATGAAGTTTCTTTAACTGACACTGAAGACATTTCAGTGAAGTTTTTATAGGTTGAACATGCATTTTTCGCCATTTTGTCATTTATTCGGCACTGCTTCACCCGACTTTTAAACCAGCAAATCATAAATCACATATTTCTTACATTTAATGTTTGACTCAGCTTAACACAATTTCACTTGTTTCCTTGCAAGAAATGACTTTCTTTTAATTTCTGTCGATACAGCTGAGAGAACGGAAACCCATATCGACTGTCCATTTGGTATGCGTAGCAGCCCTCACTCTGAGCCGTCATGGTTGAGTTAAAAACGCTTGCTCACGCATTACTCAAAGCCCGTTTTTGCTTTTCACGTGTATTTAACCGAATGTGAGGTAAAGAGAGGTTGTGATCACGTGTTTGACATAGCAAAATAAAACTGAACTTTGGTTATGTTTCTGGGAAGAAATTTTAGTTTTGCGATGCGTCTGAGGAATTTATCAAACGGTCCAACATGATGTAATGTTTCTTAACTTGTTCTTTTTATCGGAAAACGATACCCTTTCTTCAAGGGTTTTCAGGATTTTGATTTCTGCATTTTCGAGAAAATAATGTTTCCGTCAGTCTTTCAGTCTACCCGAGCGTCGTTTTGTAAACCATCTGTTGCTCTCGGTTGCATTCTTGCTCGAAACCGCTTGTCGAGGGGCTAAGCGCCCGCATCTGATAGCACTTTAAATTCAACCCAAAGCCGCAGACATTCAATACAATGCAGCAGAGGGTGTTCAAAAATTTGAATTTCGGCTTTAATTCACCAAGCAACGCAAAAGTGATAAATGTGCTTTTTCTCGCCTCTTCAATTCATTTTTGGCGAAGACTTAACAAGGATTGTAGACCTCGGATTTCCTTGCAACTTGAACAGTATAAATTTGTATCGTTGGCCTTAACAAAACGCAGCCAAACGGAAACCTGTTAAATTGTTTTGATGCCATCTTGTCTGCGGAGTAACAGCGCAAAAGCTCCGGCTTTTGTCTTTAAGGTGCCTTAAGGAATAGCTGATGCAGTGCGCCGTGCTTTAATCGCTTTTTGACGTTGCTCAGATGTCAACAACCCTAGTAATCCACCAGCCTTCTAAAAGTGGGCGCACTAAAATTCACCGAATGTAGAAACGCACAGTTATATCGAAGCGACGGTCTTCAAAATGCGTTTGAAAAAAATTACATTAAGCTATCAGAAAACTAATCTCAAAACTTACTTCATTATCTGAGGCCTGGTTATGGCCTCGCGCAGGGCTGATAGTTGGAGAGTGCGGAGGTCTCGGACTGTAACTCCCGTTCTCTACAGGCGAACTTTGGTGAGCGCTCATAGTTTTTCTCGCTCGGGCCTAACTTAGCAGTCTGTCCTTAACTAGGAAGCGGCTGGTCAGTCTAAAAAAGATAACAGAGAAAAGAAGATCACCATCAAAAAAAAAATCAGACGAACCTTTTACCCTGGGGACTAACTGGAAGAGTTACTAAGAAATTACCAACACTTACCCAAAAAAGATGCGACCGACTTGGAAGAAGCCTACTGGGAAATAAGCTGTACTTTGCAACTTCTGTCAGTTATGTCTATTGTGTACAACATCTACATAATTACGTAATATTAGGGTTCACCGGAGACGCGTTCATCCCAATACATTTCCCTTCACCATGGGTTGCTCCACACCGTTACGAATTATCTCCTGTCATAAGCTTTATTGAAGGAAAAACGCAAAAGCAGGAGGAAGTTAATCAGGGATCAGTTTTATGAACAAAAGAAAGGCCGGGAATTGCGCATGCTGACAGAAGTTCAATAATACCTCCAAATTAAACAACCCTAAGCTTTGTTGTTAGAAAAATCTTGAGTCACTTAATTTTACTGTGTTCTCTTACACTGAGTTTTTTGCACTCCGATGGTAAGCCCCCTCTTGGTTTTGGCACATAAAAGACTGAAACTGAACATTACAGAAGAACTGTATTTCACCATCAAAACACCGGCCGGTGTCTTCCGGTTCACTGGCTATTTTTTGTTTTGATTTTGTAACAGGACATTCTTTAGGTTAGCATCTATTTTAAGTAAAGCCGTCCTTTCCGTAATTCAATAGATTTTACGTCCAAGCGTTTTTTTGTCACAGGGTTCTCAAACAAACGAACAAACTCAACGCGACAAGCTGCCGTTTCGTACTGGTTAATATTTAACAAGTGGATCATGACCTCGAAACTTCTATCTCGGGATAGTCGATGAGGGCGAAGCCCGAATTAACTATCACGCATAGAAATTTCGAGCAAATAATCTAATTGCTTTAGTACAAATCTACTAGTTCAAAACTTAACAGCATGACAGGTTCTCGTTCTTATTGAATTATGATATAAATAGGTCACAGCACGCGCTATTCACTCTACTCATCATCTTCAATAGAAAGGGAGTAACGTAGCCAATCAGAGAACAGCATTCATGATAGAATTTTAGTAGATTTATACTAAAATACGATAAAAGCAAGCATTGCTGGGCCCTCAAACGCGGAAATGGCACTGATTGTTTGAGAGATATGGGAAGCGTAAAGCCCGGGTAGCTCTTGGATTGATTTCGGTTCCATTTAATATTGCTGAAGAGAAAAATAAACAATAAGTATGAAACACGTGGTAATTATAAATATGCGCGTGATCGAAATGTTCCTCTTACTCCCCGCCCTCCCTAACCCAAATCGACTCAAACCGCCATTGTTTTTCCTGACAGTGCATTGACTCAGTCAGTTAACAGACTATTTCGAATCCTTCACATGGTAAAGTCAATCCTCAGATGTTTTAAAGTTAACCGCTGCTAAAACAACTCCTCTGTTAGTAAAGAACCATTAATTACTAAATTACTAATGTTACACAGGCATGGTCGATGGTAGGATGTTGTTGGTTGCTGGACACATGATATTGTGTTTTAGTACAAAAAAAATGCCAAATATCTTTTATGGTTGTATCCTGTATTCTAAAGTTGTTGTTGTGTTTTTATACGGGTTGTGAACATATCTAATTAGTTAAAGAAGCAGATAGGAAGCAAGTGCTCTGTGGTTAAGGAAGAAGAGCATTCGTGTTAATTAACTAGCTTTTCTATTGGTTTGTTCGACCCCAGAACCTAATCGGTTGTCAGTGATTGTGCAAGTTAGTAAATTTTTGATCGCATAGTGCGTATTCCAGCCTCAATTTTATTGTGGTCTGTTATTTCGAGCACCATAGATTGTTCTGTTTGGGTAAATCAGTTGACAAAAAAAACCCTAAATGCTTTGCAATTGCTCTCAAGCTAAATTTTGGGCTAAATGCCTAAATAGCTGGTACACATTTTAAATGTTGAACGAGTTCGAATAACACGCACGAAGTTTTGAATGACAGGAACGCGAATTACGTTCTCGTAGCCTTGATTGTCGTTCTTGCTTGAGCTCCAACCAGCAGTGCGCAGCCATCATGGTTGGACGTGCATGGTTGATGAACGACTGCCGATCACGCGCTTGACATTACTAAACAAATTGAACTTTGGTTCTGTTAAACTGCTGTGAACTTTGAGTTTTGCAGCGCATCGAAGCAATTACGATCACGCGCTTAATCGTGACGTAAGTAAACAGAATTGAACTTTGAGTTATGCGGTGCTTCAAAGGAGTTAGGAATCTTTACTTCGAGCATTTACATTGTTTTGAAATTTTGCATTTTCAAGAAAAAATGTTTCTTTGAGATCTTTTTAGTCTTCGCGTGAATCCTTTTGTAAACTATGAGCTGTTGACGACTAATTTTCTCGCTCGAAGCTACTTGTTGCCTGAAGTAGAAGGAAGTAGCGCGCTAGCACCTGTGCAGACATTCAATACAATCCAGTAGTTAGTGAGTTACCATGGATTTGACTTAATTAACTCAACTAGCAACAAAAGTGTCTTTTATGTTTGCTTGTTTCAATTTCCAAAAGGACTGCTTTGTGCATTGATCTAAATATAGGAATATACGCCGGATAACGATCGAGACCAATATCGCCTTGGTTTTTACCAAAATAAAGGGTGTTTTGTCGGGTTTTCCTGTTTCCATGGTAACGAATTACGTCAAGATAATGATTGAATGTTAGTGAGAAATAATGAGTGTTCCGCATGATAGCATAACACGCCGTTACTTTGAAGTATCAATTCTTCCCATAAAAAGGAGTATTAAAAGTGTTGAAATTGGTTTGAACCACCTGAAATCCACTGTCTTTTTCACTTTTGTGAGCATATTACAAATACCAATTAAGCGCTCAACTTTCTGGGCGCAAATGTACTGCACAGACAATTAAACAATGCTGTTTAGCGTACTAAGCTGTCGTCAACATGGGACAACGAGATCAAGGCTGAATTACTAACCATTTACACCATGGAAGACGTCTAATAGATCGACAAACGAGGTAGGTAGAGCTTTTTAAGTTCTTCCTTGAAATAATGTGTCGTAAATCTTTATAAATTTCATTTTATCTGCTGGTATTTTTGTACGGGTTTACAAAATTCTTGTATGGGTCGAGGCTTTGGATGATGCAATAGTCGAGTTTTCTCCATATGCTACGTTTGTCAGTCCACCGATGAGTGCACTGCTTTTTGCTCCAGGTTTACCCTGTGTTCATTTCTATTCTCAGGCCGGCAGTGCAAAAAAAGCTCTTTCTGAAGAAACACTGTAGAGTATATTTATATATTTATTCATAACATTTTCAAATACAAGCACAACCACACACAACAACTACCTTGAAACTAGTTTTAGGCGGATTATTTGTTCAATCACTCGGCAAGTCTAAATTTTGTCTTTATTTTATGGGTCTTTTGCCTTCTAGTAAGGCTGCAGTATACTTGTAGTATTTTTTAGGATATATTTAAGCATTGCTTCTTTACCGTTTAATTCGATTCGTTACCGCCTCTCTTGTAAACAATAATGTCCGGCATTCCCTTTCCTAGTTTCTAGGGTATACGTATCTTTGAGGCTTTTGCCCTTCATTACCAGGAAATAAATTTTCGTTATCGCGAAAATATCGGTCAATAAAATTTATGTATAATTAGTTTAGCTAAGAGATTTTTGCATGGAGTAGAAGATTCACTGATTAAGGCCAAATAAAATAGCGTTTTGTCAAACACAACATTCTTTAGCTGCTATGAAAATTCATTTCCCTTGGCTTAATGTTCGATTGTGCGAACATAATCTCAATTGCAAGAATTTCTTAGAAGTTTTTCTCATCAATTTCTCAACGGATTTTGATGAGCGCTTAAATTTGAAAACGAAGGTGTACATGTGCAAACTAATCTCGCAGAAATGGAGCACAGAGTGCGTGGAAATTGTATTCCAAACGAACATCGTGAAAGGATAGTTGGGGATAGTTACCTCTGGACTTTTGTCATAAATGTTTTTTTTTTCCTCGTTAAAGAACATTAGGATGCCGCAAATATTTCCTTGTTCTCTTAAAAGGTTGTTATTTCCGTCATTAATTGAAACTCTATTGGCATTAATGATGTTCTCCGTGCAAAATTTATCATTGATCACGCAAAAATTACAATTTTTATTTTTTCTACGATGATTACACATTCCTTTAAATGACTGAATTTTTGACAGTAATAAAAAAATTATTTCCTAGTGATGAAGGACAAAAGCTGTAATAACCTTATGTACAAAGCTTCTGTTTATGCTGTTTTCTCCTAATTTTCGACTGCTTAGCTGTCGACCATATTATACGATGAAAAGTCCTTTCATCTGTCAAGTCTATGTGTGGGTGACAAATTTAAGCCGTAAAATGAGATTTATTTACTATGGTTCATGGGCATACTGACGCCCACTCAGCAAAAGGGAAGTAAGGTTTTGAAACCTGTCCCTAATGTCTGGAAATTTGAGGGGTCGAGGAGATCAGGAGAAGGAGTAGCGTATATTCATTATGTGGGAGTCGTGAGCCAGTGGAAGTCCACAAACTTCACATGCAAACGTTGACAGAATCAGTCACACTTTTAATGGCCCATATTAAAGGAAAGGACTAACTATATTATATTAGTAAAGGTGTTCTCACTGTTTTCATTGTAGGTTTTAAAAAAGTACAATTTACTTACTTCATAATTTTACTCTTGCAGGTTAAAAGGGGAAGTAGAAGTTATGATACGATCCAAAAATCATAAAGTGGCTTTTGATTGAGTGATGTTGAATGCTCTAGTGAAGGTACTAGAGTTTAGCCTATTAGCTTTAACTGCTTGAATACTTTGTTTTGTAAACACAAGTGGAAAGTGTTGGAGGCCCTAGGTTAGCAGTAAAAGAAATCTAGCTAGGTACTGGATTTTCTGGAAATAAAAGTTACAGTGACAGTCACTTTGAAGAACTGAATATTCATTTTTAGTACCTGAATTTTATAACGGATTTTTCCAGTTCACAGAAATTCAATCTGGATTGTCCTGACCGAAGTATTGCAACTTTTACTATAAGTATACCTGATAGCATAGCACTTTGCAATGACAAA